GGGCAACCCCTGTCCTTTGACACAGAACTTCAAGTAGATCGTTTGTGCTATTGTTTGTCTGCAGGCAGAAGCTAATGTGTTAGACATTAAAGCATAACTTAAGACAACTGGGATCGAGATGACCCAGACAGGGTTAGAACATTTTCTTGGATGATTGCTGCTCAATGGAATTCTTGAAGGGAGTTAGTAAGGTTTTATTTTGAAATTCAGGCTTTAAATGTGAGTTTACATATGCTATTCAGATGCTTTTCCCATAAATAACCCCTTAGTACTAATATTTCAGTCCTTACTATGGATGAGATGGGCATTTAAATGTTGTGTTTCCAAGCAGCATTTATTATTTTTCCGATTTTACAACATTAAATGTCAAATATAGAAATACATAAAGTGAAAAATATGAAAGTCATACTTCTATAATCGGATATTATTGCTAATATTCATTTAAAATTTTTTTTTAATTTTTTTTTTCAACGTTTATTTATTTTTGGGACAGAGAGAGACAGAGCATGAACGGGGGAGGGGCAGAGAGAGAGGGAGGCATAGAATCGGAAACAGGCTCCAGGCTCTGAGCCATCAGCCCAGAGCCTGACGCGGGGCTCAAACTCACAGACCGCGAGATCGTGACCTGGCTGAAGTCGGACGCTTAACCGACTGCGCCACCCAGGCGCCCCATCATTTTAGTCTTAAAGAATCATATTCTGATTAGGAACATGATTTTTTCACTTAATATAATTTGATTTGAGCATTCCTTCCATCATGTTTTCACCTCTAACATCTACTTTATTTTATTTTTAATGTTTTATTTAACATCTGCTTTACAATAGCTCTGTGAAATATTTTAATTAAGTACAGTTTCATACTAATTTTCTTCCTCTGTATTTGGGACAAAATTTGACAGCCATATATGTGATTTGATCACTTTCTCTTTCAGAAAATGTGGCATGGGTTTTCCTTTAGAGCTCAGTGATGGTGTCTATTATTTGTGTGTTTGAGAGAAATTAAGATAGGGAATGACTTGACAATATGAACTTAAGATAAAACTCAGAAATCTATTCTCATTTACAAAATTCTCTAAGTATCTGTTCACAATTACTCTCTCATAGAATTTAGAAGACAGAATTTTGTATTTCATTCACTGCTGTATTTGTAGTACCTAGCACAAACTTTTTCATATAATGCGCTATCCGTAGATGTTTTTTAAAGAAAGAAGGAAAGATGAATTCTGCTACTTAAACATACTTTTAATCTAATTTTTATGATGGAATTAAATGTATAAATTGATTGTGAAAAATAAAAGTCCTTAATGCGTATATCTGATTATTTGTTTCAGAGCGTTCTGTTTCTTTCCATTCATATGTCTTCCTTTCTTAATAAAGCTCTGTGGTTTTAAGATAATTAAATGTATTCTTGGACTTGTAATTTTGTGTTATCATTATAATTAAAACCGTTCTTTCTGAGCCATATGGGAAACATTTTATATGCACTTATTAGCCACCTCGTTAGTGCAGTGCACACAAAGGCATTTGGACTAATGGTTAATGTAGAGACAACTTGTTCCAAACCTCCCTGAGTGAACTTCACATTTGATTGAATTAAACATTACTAACCATAGCCTTTTTTTTTT